GCTATCCGCTCAGCATTGACGCTGAGTGGCACTCCATTGTAGCACAAGAATAAACATAATAATTCAATGATTAGATCGTGCATATGTTTATCCTTTTAATAAAAATCAATTCAACTTTACGTTCGGTTCTTTAGACGGTTGACCAACAGTCAACTTATTTTCTTTCTTTTCAAAATGATTTAGGTGTTACGGGTTTCTCATTAACTCTTTGACCACCGGTCAAACCAATTTAGACTTTCACCAAAGTCAAACCACTTAACATTTAATGCCTATGACGGAGATAGCCTCAATCCGTAATACCGAAGATTGCCTCAATTCGGTGGAGGTAGGATCCCTCGGGCGATAGCCTCAAACCCAAGATCACAGACCCTCGTGTGCACGTCTTAACCTCACTGACCAGGCCCTGCAGCCGCCTGAGCAATGGCCAGTTTCTATGTTCGACATAATAAACCAATTGACCTTAATCACCGATTAGAATTAATTAATTAACTTAACTAATTCATTAAAGTCTTGGATTTAACCATTCGGTCAAACCTACGTCGACAGAATATCCAGTCAAAGTCCAAGTCAAACAGGACCCAACCCAAGTCAAAGTCAAACCTGTTCAGTCAATTCGCAATCCTCAACAATTCAATTCAAATAATCAATTTAATTCAATTAACCAATTTAGCCAAATTACAGCATAAACACATATAACGATCCAAACCATTAAATCTATTCTAAATGCTATTAACTTCATAGTACGGACCTGGATTACGCCGAAATCGAATCGATAGCTCGAACAGAAGACAAATCAACGAAATCAAACGAACGGGTCAAATTGAGTCAAAATGCGAAATCGACCAATCAATCCGGCGTGGAGGTTAATCTGCCGGCGATATCAATTTGGGGCAGCGGCTGGATGCGGCGACGGTGACAGACGCCGGCGACAGTGGCGTAGCGGCAGCTCGACGGCGAGGAAAGACGCCGGCAGTGGAGGCGACGTCCAGCGCTCGGCGTGGTGGCGCTGCACCCGACGGCGATGATGGCGGACTTCCGGCGAAGGCGAAACAGCGGCGCTGCACTTGACGGCGATGATGGCGGACTTCCGGCGAAGGAGAAACAGCGGCGCTACAGCTCGATGGCGAGGACGACCGACGCTGGCAGTGGAGGCGACGACCGGCAGAACGACGAGGTGAACCGTCGTCGGCGGCGCTGATGCTAACGGCGGACCTCTGGCGAAGGAAGCAGCGGCGGCGATTGGCTGGGGAAGGGTGACCGGCGCTGGCAGTGGAGGCGACGACCGCGGCTGTTGAAGACGAAGAAGGAGAATAAGAAGAAGGAGAAGAAGAAGAAGAAGAAGGAGAAGAAGAAGGAGAAGGAGAAGAAGAATATAACGATCGTGTGGTAGATAATAGGTTTAGGTTTTAATTAATGATCCCATTCCTAAAAGGATTGGGCTTCGGACCCAAAATACCTGATTAAATGGTCATAACATGAGCTCCATAACTCCGATTCGCGAGCCGTCTGAACCGACGCGATCACAAAAATATTTCCTACGAGATGAAATAAAAGTTGGGCTTAGAATCCAAATTATAATTTTAACCCCTTTTTAGGCCCAATTCGTGATCAATTGCTCTAACAATTTAATTAATTCTTTTGGGCCAGATTTCAGGGCGTTACATTTCTCCCCCCCTTAAAAAGAATTTCGTCCTCGAAATTACCTGAGTCATTGGTCGTCGAAGAGATGAGGGTACTGAGTTCGCATAGATTCTTCGGTCTCCCAGGTTGCTTCTTCCACCGCATGATTACGCCATAGTACCTTTACCAAAGGTACCGTCTTATTTCTTAGTACTTTAGTTTCGCGCGCCAA